GCAATCTGCACAGACTGCTGCCATGTTCAAATCATTTTTAAGATTCATGACTCAAGGCTGCGCGCCACATCAAGCCATTTACCTGCACCCTTGAAATCCTGCTCATTAGCTGAAAGTGCACAAACACTGTTTGAGTTTTTAACTTTGAGTTGTCACCTTGTTCAAGGTTTGGAGAGGACTGTAGTCTCTGATGCGACAGCTTTGTAGCACTGATCATCATCCCTCATACCCACTAAAAAAACATAACTATTGATTCGATTCAATTTTATTTTCAATTTTATATATAGCACCAATAAAATAGTCACCTCAAGGTGTTTTAATACTGTAAGGTAAAGACCCTACAGGATTACAGAAAAATCCCAACAATCACATGACCCCATGTGAGGAAGTACTTTGGCAACAACGTGAAGGAAAAACTCCCTTTTGACAGGAAGAAACGCGTTAATGCAGCGTTAACATGGTCATCACGATTAAAAATTTTAACGCGCTCAACCCATCTGGAGCGCAGAATGAACAAACTTTTGGACAAACTGCCCGATATGCATTGACAGAGACATTTCAAGGATTTTGACTCAGTAGGGTCGGATTAACAATTAACCCTCCAGATGGGTTAATTGTTAATCGCGTTAGTTAGCACTGACAGCACTAAAAAAAATATAAAGTCGCCAATTTGGGATTTCTTTGGCTCTAAACTAGATGAAAGAGGTAAACCTAAGGATGTAATCAAAGTGGTGTGCCACTTGTCCAGACATATAGTGCGAGCAAAGTACATGCATGAGCATGTACGTGTCCACCATCCGGCTGAGTATGCGGCGATCACTAGCTTCTGCAGCTCCATCAACAAGCATTTGGGCGCACTCTGAGGAGGGTGCATTTGCTCACAGATGAAAGAGGGTGCTGTTAAAACAGCGCTATTATTTTTTTTTTCTGTTGACTGCTTCTATTAGCTCCATCATTATTAGCAAACTTACTGATGGGCAAATAAATCTCCCCTGTAAAAACGATAGTCAATATATTCGTCCAATCGCCCAACCCTAATTCATCCAGGTGTCCATCATCAGGCTAAGTAACCAGGTAATCCTCAAACATCTCACCAAACCTGGACACCCATCTTCAGTACCTCCCCAAGAGGCTTCCAGCTCTTCTGAAAGAGGACGGCAACTTCTGCCAAATACTTTCAAGTCATTCAGATGCACAGTCGCCTCTACTGAGGCTCTGTGTTGGAAGCTTGATGGTTTCTGAACTCTGCAAGCTTTACCTTTAAGTGTGAAGTCATGGCTCCTGTTTCTTTTTCCTCTGCTTTTGTGCAAGCTGGGCCCAGTTGAGGACTGACTTTCAGTTCCACCTCCTCTCAGGGTCCAAACTGGACATATTCTGTGACAGCTAGCATTGTAATTTTCACGCTCAGGTCCTGTCTTTGAATAAACACAGTGTTTCTGGTCATCAGCCTCTAGCAGGGCTGGAGGATTGATCAGATTATAATTTGGCTTTTAGAGATGATGGAAACAAGGCAAGCTCATTTAATTTTGTCCAATAAACCAAACACTCCCGTTGCCCCTCCCTAAAAGTCATTCACTGTTGGTTTAGCTTGAACTAAAAGTCACTAAAAGAGAGATTTTAGTGAACAAGATCAGTGCAGAGGAAATAATAAAGGTTTGGAAGATCATTAAGAACTGCACATGACTCTGTCTCTGGATCTCAAAGCGTTTCTCACTGGTCCACCTTCAGCTGTGTGCGACCAAGATGTTTGATCGCCAGGTTAAGATGTGATGCTTTAATGCAAAAAGACTCACACTGCAGAGCTCAGACACATAAACACAGCACGAAGGAAAGCCGTGTGAGCACGTGCAGTGTTAGTGGGTATAGATATTTGTTCTGCTGCGTGTCAGACAGCATGTTTGTGTTTCTGTACATTACAACTTTGTCAGGCTTAAACACACGGGCTGTGTGTCTCCGCACAGCATTGTGTGTGTGTGTGATGTGGAGACTTTGCTAGCTTTGCTGGCACTACAGAGACATCCTCAATGGAAAGGAGAACAAAGACAAAGGCTCTTAATGAGCTCTCCCACTGCCGAGACCTAAACTAGGCCAGCCAACGGGCTGTGTGCATGTTTGTGTATGTGGCAGTGGGATGTGAACGAGCCATGGGCGTTATCCAGGTGACTGAGAAGGCAGCAGCTCTGCAGCGAGCGAGCGTTTCATGTGAGCGGCTCGTTTGTTGTGCTAAAATTCCCAAAGAAGCATCTCGGAAAGCCGTCAGAGGCTCGTCTGTCGGCGCACCGCTGGAGCGCTCGCGATGGACACTTTAAAAGGATTAAAATCATTTTTAGGTTCCTCTGCAGAAAACCAAACAGCTAAACAAACACGCCGCCCTCCCTTTGTAAAATCACAAAGTCAGAGCTGACAAAGTTTGGAACACAGCCCCAGGTGAACCTCAGCGTTGCTGCAGGTTTATTTGGACTGAGAGTTTTTGGGTTTTGCAGATTTCAGTGAAACATGGCAGAGGAAGGGACGCCTGACACCCACAGCCATCACACTGATGGCTGTGGGGGTCTGTAGGCAGCCTGGGGTACAGTGCTCTGCTGTATGAACTGTGTTTCATATACACCTGACCTGGATGTGATGAAGTCACATGTCGAATACATGCTGTGAAGCTATGCTACAGCTAACTGTCTGTTATTATAGAAACTAAATGGTAGTAAAGCATCTTTACTCTGAGCCTTTACACGAGATTTACCGATAGATAAAATCAACACTCTTTGATTTCATGTATTTACAGCTAACTACCATCTGGATTTTAAAAATCATTAACTGAGTCCAGTCTGGGGGTCCATAAACACCAATCCCACTTTTGTCAACAGCCCAGCTCACACTCCACCCAACCCCAGGCCCTCTGGGGCGGTGGGCTCACTGAGCAGCAGATCCATGTTATTCAGTAGGTGTCCAACCAAGCCTCATGGACCCAAAACCAGGCGCTCGATAGATGGTGGGATGGTTATCAATATCGGCCCTAAAACTCCAGCATCAATAATGAAATAATAGTTTGGTGAAATAAGAGTAATCTTAAAAAAATAGCACAAATATGAGTCGATCTGAACCAGCAGCTGGCCCAGGTTAAAGGTCACCCACTAATCAACATGATTGCAGCAATTTTGTCAAACAATCAGTAATAACTCCCTCAAACCTGACTGCACAGACACGATCCCATTGTCATTAGATTCAGGGTGGCTCGTGCTGCTGAGAATTTCACTACATCTACTGTCCATCACACATAAACAGCCAGAAAAACAACTCTGCCCAGGATGCAGAACCTGCAGAGATTGAGGGATCAGTGATGCTTCCCTGACAATCCAGAGGAGCATGAAGAATCCAGCCAATTCAAATTATACTGATGAAAAACAGCAGGGCTCGCACTGCAGACACAGTGTAACTCATCCATTCCCCATTCCTGTCAAATCTCTTCATACTCTGGTGATGATGTCTGAGCGTCTCCTGAATAAACACACTTCCTGTCACATCAGACTTCAGGCTGCTCCCCTGCACTCTCTCACGTCTTTAGCTGCTGTTTGCAAGTGCTCACTGAGTAAAACTTTCTCTACTTTCTGTCTGCGCTTCAGGCCAACAGACGACCTCAGCGTGTGAAGAGAAGACCTGACATAAAAACACCAGCAAGCTGCTGTGCTCCATCGGCGGCAGCAGGAGGCTTTATTAGCTCTGGACAGGGCCCAGCATGGGAGGCTTACCCTCAGTCAGGCCCATGTGGATGCTCCAGTAGTTCTGCAGGCACTGCAGCTCCTTCTTCATGCCTCTCTTGCAGCGGCAGTCGTAGAGCGGCGAGTCCTGCAGCACCTCCAGCGCCCCCTGGCACTCCTTGGAGGCCAGCATGGCGCTGCGCTCCTTGTCCCCGCCCGACAGGCACTGGCGCATGATCCGGTAACGCGAGCTGCACTGGCTGTTCTGGTTGCACAGCTCGGAGGCTCGGACACAGTCTAGAGGTTCCCTCCAGCCGGGGGTGCCGAGCTCCGAGTCACAAACGCACACATCTGCAGGAAAACAGGGAGAAGGCGGGAGTTAGACACAGAGGTGTTAGCTTCACTCACTTCCTGTTTACTTTTGTGATCATTTTATCTATTTGCAGTCATTTTGTGTCTCATTAGAGTCACCGTGTGTCTCTGCTCTGCTTTTTGTTAAATTTTTGTGTGTGCGTATGGTCTTTTTAAATATTTTTCCAATATTTTTGTCTCTTTGTAGTTTTTGGCACCTGTTTACTGTCACTTATTGCTTCTTTGTGATCTTTTTCTACCTCTTTAACATAGCAAACTAATCAGTTCAAACAGAGCTCGTTTAAAACTAAATGTAAAAATATTAATGGGGCTGTTGGTCAGATAAACGTGCGTCTCTGCAGACTCAGGCAGGCTTTTCCTCTGGTGCAGGTGGAGGTGTGTCTGTATGCTATGCCTCAGTTTCTCAGCTGTAACTCAGGATTGCAGATTGAAGGCTCAGTGATGGATCTCGGATCGAGATGAGGTGATCTCCTGATAAGAAGCTGAGGATAAAGCCAGCACGTGTTCATAGAGCATCATATCATATATGTCTTCCTGTTGTAGGTTATTGTTGTTCCAGCGGCCGTTAGCTGTGACAGAAACATATGAAACTGAAATAGGAAACATTAGAAGGCATTGCGCGGATGTCCTCAAGAAAATATCCCACACTAATCCGGTTCGACATCTCCTCCAGGGCGCACAGACTCAGCTCCATCTGTGTCGAGCGTGGCCTTTGTCAGGCAGTTCAACAGCTTCCGTCCAGCAGAGACAATAGCATGCGGGTGAATCTAATTAAGCGAGCATCACAGGGACCAGATAAATGAATGTTTACCTGTCGGCAGCCGCAGATAGCAGGTGTGTGCATTTCGTGGGATTTCGAGGGTTTTCAGAAACAGGAAGTGTGTGTGTGAGCTGCTGGAGTCATTATTTTAGAGACATAACATGCTGAACGCCAACAAACAACACGATCTGACCGTTAACCGGCACAAAACCAGGCAGGAGGGTAAAAGTAAACTATTACATTACATGCCGCTGACATTTCACAGTCCCAAAAATTACCTATGATAACCAGAAGCATAATCATATAATAATTCTGTGAATGAATATAAAGGCTGTGTTATAGAGAGGAAACACGATGTGGAACAAACACACATTCAGATCTTTGTCCTTCAGTGCGCAAAGCACCATAGTCCTTCTTCGAAATTAAAAATGTAAAGCGCTGTAGTTCTCCTTCAAAATAAAAGTGCAAAGAGCTGCGGTTCTTCAAAATAAAAGTGCAAAGAGCTGTAGTTCTCCTTCAAAGTAAAAGTGAAAGTGCTGCAGCACGCTCCTCCTTCCATTTTCCTTGCCCCTGGTACAGCTCCTGAAACCTCACATGTGGACCAGAAGCTGGGGATCATGGCTTTCACAGTGAGTAATCCAGACTATGAATGGTTGACCTCATGCTGTGGACAGATCATCTCACCCATTCTCTCGGCTGAAGTTTGATTCGTTTGGCATCTTCTTTGTGCCTTCTGCCCATTGAGGGACCTCAAAGTGAACTTTCATTTAGGAAGATTTTCACCCTTATCCTCCATCTTCTCTGTGTTCATACGAGCCTAACCACAGCTCTGCAGGTAACGACTGATATACCTCAACCTGCCCTCCAAATATTGCTGCTGTTCAGTTTTTTCTTTCTGTCTAAAGTTCTAGCAGGGAAATCCTTCAGTGAGAACATCTGGAGAACATCTTTGGACCATTTCTAACTGTCAGATGTGTTTCAGAGCTTCCTGATTCTGGGATTTGAAGAAGACAATCAGGTGCTTGAGCTGAACTTGTTTTTGTCCTTGCAGATGTTTGAGCTCTCATCTGAAAGGCTTTACAGTTCAGAAAGCTGACGGCCGTCCCAGAGTTTGAGGTGGTGAGATCAGCAATGATGACGTGAAGAGCAGTGCAAACTAAAGCTAAGCCCACCTCTCGAAGAGGCAGCTGTTTCTTACAGGTGAGCTGTCTGTTACAGCCAGGTGGACCGTTAACCCGTTACTCTCAACTAACCATGAACCTAAACTCTTTGTAATCCGTGTGAAAACATTCATGAACGAGGCTGTTACTGTGGGTTCATCCACATCTTTATATGCTTTCTATGGTCTGCAGTGAATACTGATGTCCCACACAGGCTGTGGTCCCTGAAGTCCTCCTTAATCCTCACAATCACTCGAGGAGGCTCTTCCTGTTCACCTGGTCTAAGGAGAGCACTGTGGAACATAGCCACCTCAGAACCGGAGCTAGTGGAGCTGCTGGAGCTGGTGAACAATGCTACACCTTTAAGCTGACTGGACCGGGACTGACGCCTGAGACCTGAGACCTGAGCTGGCCTTCACTGAGTCTCCTATGATGAGTAACTGATGGAAGCTGTGGGACACTCTGCAGGCTCCCCTCATCTCACACTTTATCAGCACCTGACGCGATGCTTGCAGGGGACATCTGCACATTGTATCTGTAAAAAATAACCTGGATGACTCTACAGACTTTCCTGTGGTTAGTGCTAGGTCAGTAGGGCACCAGGCGCCCCCTGCTGGAACAGTGGGACAAAATCCTGTGCTGCTCTCATGAAACGTGCATTTACACTCTGCAGAGACACAAAAAAAAAGGTGGCATGAAAAAACACGGCTCCACACTCTGTTTGTTCCACTGCAGACAGAAATGCTCCAGCACCACAAGCTTGTGTCACCCACCCCACAGCTCCACCTCAACAAGCTGCAACACATCAGACCAGCGCTCAGAACCAGGGGCAGAGGAACAGCTCCCACAGGTGAGGGCCACACAAAGAGCTAATTACTGGACCTCGGGGTAACGATGTGACCTTTCAGGGGTACGTGGATGTTTGTGCAGCAGTAAAAAGTTCAGATTAAAATATTCAGGATCAGAACAAATGTTCCCGAGACCTGCTGTCCTCAGTCCTGGTATCAAGCATGGTAACAGCATCTTTTAGTAGAAGCTCACAGTAAGGCAGAGGTGTAGAAGTAGTCAAACCCCTGGGAGTACAAATAACTACACCCTGTCAGGGATAAAATGGCAGTACCTCAGAGAGTACTTCACCTGAATATATTTCATTTACTGAATGTAACAAAGATGCTCTTTATGGCTCTGATGATCAATAGAAACATAATAGAAATCCAAACAGAATGTACAGCAGAGTACACACAGTACTCTGTACACCAAGTACTCTGTAAACACAGTACTCTGCACACACAGTACTCTGTACTATTCTAACACGTCACGGCTGGTACATGGGTCTGAGGGTAAGGGCGCGCGCTATTTGTCTGCGGAGATTTAAAAGTTAACTTCATGCACTGCAACATTTTCACTTGTAATGGAGTATCTCTGTGAGTATCCGAGTACTCCTGCTGACGGTTACTCGGTGTTTCAGAGCACGAGAGCATCTTTAGACCCAGCTGACTGACAGAGGCGCAAACCGAGCCTCTGCCCTCACCTGTGCGCGTGCACGCGGGCAGCGGAGGTGTACTCACCGAGCACGAGCAGCAGGCAGACGACGCCGGTTAGGATCATGTCGCGTGCTGCTGTAATCCCACAGGAAGTCATGGTTCTCTCGCTCTGAGCGTCGGGGTCTCTCACTCTCTCTCTCCGCACATCACGCGGACTGCCTCCGACATAGTGGCGCTAGCACGAACCCCGGACACGGTGGGATCCCCCCCTCCCACCCCGCCGTCCTGGGCTCACAGCAGCCCCGGCAGGGACGCGGAAGAAGACGAAGAAGAGTGGGAGTCCGGGCAGGAGCGCATGCTCCGGAGCGGCTCTCCCGGAGATGGAGCTCTGTCCTCGGTGAAGAACATCAGCTGCCCCCGATCACTCCGCAGCTGTACTCCAACTTTCCGGGCTCAATGTGACTCTGTCCGCTACTCTTCCTCCTCTTTGTCACACACACACACAGACACACACCGGAGCTGCCCGGTGGGTAACGGCACGCGCGTCTCCCGCCGGTTAGAATCTACTCCAGTAGCAGCCTCGTGCGTCTTTCAGCAAGCCCAGCGCGTGCGAGCACTGAGGAAAACCTCGAAACCTCCTTCTCCTCCTCCTCACCCCCTCCTCACCCAAAACTCAGACTCTCTTTCGCTCTGTCTCTCTCTTTCTCCCTTTCTCCGGGTGTCAAACGCACGCGCGTTTACTCCTTACGTTGACCCGGAGTGTGACCTCAGAGCAACGTCATCTGACTGAAAGACACGATCTGCTATTACTGTAATGACTGTTTATTTATTTATCTTTTATTATTGAAAATGTCCCAGGTATTTTATATTTTAATCATACATTTTATTTATATTCATTTTTTATTTACATATGAATGTATAGTTTTAGTGTAATTATTTTTGTTATTTTACATTTTAATTATTGTCATTATTAATTATTCATTTATTTTTATTCTTCGTTTTATTATTTACCTTTTTGTGCTGTAGTTATATTTTTCCTTATTTCCCTTTTTTAAACTTATATAAATTAAATTAAAGTTAGAATCACATAACTATAATTAATTTTTTATTATAATTTCATCTTAACATATTTTTTTTGATCTACCTTTATTATTTTAGAATATATCACATAGATTTATTATGTCTTTTATTTCTAATTCCTCTCCAGCTCCATAATGCTGTTGTAATTTTATTTCTTTTTCAGGATTCTTGTTCTGATTATTGCTTTTTTTTTTTAAATCTTCTTAATCTGTGTATGTAATTATTTAATATTGTTTTAATATTTGGGTTTTTTAGGGGGAGTAATCAGATATAATTTATTTATATATATACATTTATTATTTTCTGAACTTTTGATTTAGAGAGTTATTTTTATGTGGTCTTGAAGCATTTAGTGAAATGTTTTACATAATATTTTTATTTTAATTATAGTTTTTATCCCAACAATCCATTTGCCTTAATTTTGTAAATAATCGTGTGTGTGTGTGTGTGTGTGTGTGTG